GTGTCTCTTTGAAGTTGGACCCCCTCCACTATTGCTCCTTACCCTTCTGAACTTCGCTACTGTGGATTCATTTTGCTTTTTCTAGAGTTTTATGTAAATGTAGCCGGATACTATAGACACTGTCTGACCTCTTTCACCAAACATTCATGGGAGGGAGTTTTCTATGCTTTTACATATACCTGAAGTTATTTTTGTTGCTCAGCAGTGTTCAGTTTCATGCCTGTACCAGTTTTATGTACCCACCTGTTAATACACTTTTGAATTATTTCTACTTTTTTTTTTGAGACAGAGTCTCACTATGTAGCTCTGATTGTCCTGAAACTCACAATATAGGCCAGGTGGCACACTTTTGAATTATTTCTACTTTTTTTTTGAGACAGAGTTTCACTATGTAGCTCTGACTGTCCTGAAACTCACAATACAGGCCAGGGTGGCCTTGAACTCATAGAGATCCACCAGCTTCTGCTTCTTAAGCACTAGGATTAAAGTTGTAAACCATTACTCCCAGCTTTTTTTTCTTTTTTTCTTTTTCTTTATTTTGCTACTGTGCAGAAGGCTTCATGTACATATGTTCTTGTGGATGCGTTTTTACTTCTTTCAGTAAATATGTATGTATTAAGCAGACATCTATAGGGAGCCACCAAAGTCTTCTCCAAGATGGCTGAGTAAATCTTGCACTCACTCAATATACAAGAATCCCAGTTGAGGGACTGGAGAGATGGTTCTGCAGTTAAGAGTACTGGCTACTTTTCCAGAGGACCCAGGTTCAATTCCCAGCACCCATGGCAGCTCACAACTGTAACTCTAGCTTAGGATATCTGACATACATGAAGGTGAGATACTAATGAACATAAAAAAAAATCTCAAAAAAAAGAGTACAGTATTAAAAAAACAATCCCAGATGACCTCCATCCCTGTCAACATTTGGTGTTGTCATACTTTCACATTTTAGCCATTTTAATGGTTGTGTCATGGTAGCTCCTTGTTGCTTTAATTTCCTTTCCTCTGGCATAACTTTGTTTCTTTTCATGAAAATTGTGGCTTCTAAATTCACAAAAAAATTAAATTCGGACTTATTACAGTTATACACAGTGCTCAGCTGAGGATTTTAAAATAGTTCTCACACAGGATGAAATGTCATATAGCCAGCAAGAGTGGGGGAGACAACAGGTCATGCTGCCCTAGGAACATACCAGCTAAGTGACCAAGGGTGAATGAGCCTGTTTTCTCACCTCCAAAGCGGCATCACCCCAGCAGCAGGCAGGGCCACTGTGAACAGTCAGATGACAGGTGGAGACGTGCAGAACAGGTACGCACAGTAGGTGCTCAGTGCGTGTGTGCTCAGAACCTGGAGTCACATCTACTGTCTTGATGTGTCACGAGTCTGGGCACTGTCTTGGTGACCATCAGCATCTGCTACAGAGAGTTGGTGGTTGTGCATGCGTTCTTGCTATAATGGCTTGAAAACTCTGCTAACCCTGGGTTTTAGAGTGCAGACAACTTAGGACCTGGGAGAGCAGAGTTCTGTCCCCACATTCTTTCCTACCCAGACCAGACTACAGACTCACTCACTCCCTGGGTCCTCACCTCCCCACACCCGCGCCACCCCCACTGAGGCTCTCAGAAGTTTCCTGTCCGACCGAGGCCAGGCCGGGCTCGGGGTGGGTGGAGGAGGGCTGGCATTTCCTGGCTGCCGCGTCACTGGCTCAGGGGTGCTCGGACAAAGCGCTGACCGACAGGCACCAGATGCTATTTCGGGCGGCGCCCGGCTTAGCTCACAGTTTCCGTTTTTTCCACCGTCGGAAACAAGGAACGCAGAGCCTGTACACGTCACAAGCCCCCAGCCTCAGGCTGGGGTCCTGGGCCCAGGAGTTATCTATGCCAGAGGCCTGTATAGAAGTGGGGAAGCCAACCCGGCACCTTCCATCCAACCCTACTCCTTAACCGACCTTGGAAGCACCGGAGAAAGCCATTCACACCCGGGAAAAGGATCCAGTGGTCATCGAGTTCAAGATAAAATACATAACCTTTCCAAGTCCCTAGGCCTTACCACGCCCCCTTTTAAGTAACTGCTCAGAAACTCAAGGTTGCCTGGATTCTTCCACCTTACTCTCCACCCCAGTTCTTCCAAACTCGGTCTTAAATATTACCTTTAATATTTCGCACAAAACATCCACACTCATACCCTCTCTTCCACCTCCTTCCTCTTAGAAAGATTAGAACAATCTCTAACCCCCTTCTTTGGTCTCTGTACCGGTCCCAAAACACCCAGCTTTCATTCCCCCCACTCGCCCCCTGCCGCCATTTCAACCCAGGGTTTCCTAAAAAAGCAAATCCTATCTTGCATAGGACTCCAAGCCCTTATGTAAACAAACAAAACGGTAAAAACAAAACCTTCAGTTCCTCCGCCCATACTGTACCAGTTTTCCGTTTCTTACGTGAATTCTCCCGCTTTAGCATTGGTCCAGGCTGGCTTTCTCTGGAAGTATGCCCATCTAAGCTCACAGGCAGTACAAAAATAGATGTTCTTTTCGTACAGGAGTTAGGACAGTGGTTCTCATCCTTCCTAATGCTGCTGCTACCTTTAATACAGTTTATGTTGAGGTGACCCCCAACCATAAAATCATTTTCGTTGTTACTTCATAACTGTAATTTTGCTACTTTGTGAATTGTAATGTAAATATCTGTGTTCCCCCATGGTCTTAGGTGACCCCATGTGAAAAGATCCTTGGCACACAGGTTGAGAATCACTGGGTTAGGAGCTGTTAAGTGACTTGTCCTACAACCCGGGCAGAATGGATTCCATCTCATAGCGGTACCTGTTTACTTTCTAAACCAAGCAGTCAAGCGCAAGCAAGGGCTTTGTGGGGAGGGGTGGGGGGAAGAACCGATATTTTTCTCAGGACACATTTCTCAGGAGAGATTTCTAGGGGATTCCATGGAAGTTGCCTGTACATACACAGCAGACAAACTCTCATCAGAGGACATGGGAACAGAAAGCATGGACAAGTGTACTGAGCTATACACTCCATTTCATGTATTGGTCCTGAAATCTAGGAGGGACAGAACTCACCTGGGACCAGCCCTTGACTGAGTCTCAGTCTGTGGCCAGACTAGAGGCTTTTACATTGAAAGCTACTAGAAGGTCAATGCAGTCTGCAGTCTGGTGTGCTGAGTCAGGCTATGGATTAGGAATTGGCCAACAGAGCTTAGATATTGGCTTTTCACTAGCTATGAGTTTGGCCAAGTCACATGTCTCTGCCCTTTAATTTCCTTTCATGCCCTTTACTTCTGTACTTCTGTATGACAAGCACCAGACAAGGGCAAATGATGTTACATTAGCTCCTAGTCACCTGCTTTTGAAATTATTTTTTATCTATATCTATATCTATATCTATATATATATGGCTTTGTAATCAAAAATGTATTTAAATTATTTATATAGTTAGATTTCCCCCTCACCACAGATAGGATTTCTCTGTGTAATTTGGCATCCTGGAACTCTGTGTGGACTAAGGTAGTATACAGATACCTGATTGCCTCTGCCTCCTGAGTGTGTGCTGGGATTAAAGTACTGTACCACCACTGCCTGACTTTTATTTAGGTCTGTTTGAGATAGGGTCCCTCTATGTAATTTTGGCTACCTTGAAACGCCATAGTAGACTAGGTTGGCCTGGAACTCAGAGATTCGCCTGCCTCTGTGAGTGCTGGGATTAAAGGTGTGCATCTTTTATTCTTTGAGAATTTCATAAAATTTCATAAAATATATGTTGGGCATATTCACCCTCCCTCCCCTATCTCCTCACATCCTAGTGTCCTTTTCACACTGGCTGCTCTTCCAAAGATTTGAATTTGATTTCCAGTGTCTACAAGTTGACTCACAAATACTTTTAACTCCTATTCTAGGGAAGCCTCTTCCAGTCTCTGGACACAGTACACAGACATTCATACAGGCAAAATACTCATATACAATTTTTTTTAGATTCAGAAACCAACTTATGACAGTCATTAACTCATGGGTGTGGAGCCATCCACTAGAGGATAGTCTATGATCTTGTACAGGCAGCCCCAGCTGTGAGTTCATCACTGCAGGGTCCTTTTATGATCAGAAGACACTGTTTCACTTTGCTCCTGTGTAAGTGACTCTTACACTTGTTTTTCTTTGTTTCCCCTCCTCAAGGCAGGGTCTCCCTATGAATGTGGCTGATCTGGAGCTCTATATGTAAACCAGTCTGTCCTCCAACCTGTAAACACCCACCTGCCTCTGCCATCCAATTGTTGGGGTTAAAGGTGTGCATCTCCACAGTCAACATTAGTCTCTCTTTCTTTCTTTTTTCTTTCTTTCTTTCTTCTCCTCTCTCTCTCTCTCTCTCTCTCTCTCTCTCTCTCTCCCCCCCCCCCCTTTCTTTCTTTTTGAGATAGGGTCTCATGTAGCCCAAACTGGCCTAGGATTTGTTGGGGATGATCTTAAACTTCTGATTCTTTTGTCTTTACCTCCTGTACAAAATCCAGTTTTCCACCCTTATGAAAAGACGAAGCCAGAAACTCTTCAGCCCACTGAGTTCCTACAACGACCTGAGCCTATGGGCTTCAATGCCAAATCTTCCTTCACATCAGGCTTCTGCCACTCACTAGAAATCGAACTTTGAGTTACTTTGGCATGGCCCTGCCACCTGCTCCCTCTACTCCGTTTTCTCACCTGTAAGAAAAGCACCGATAGAGGGGGTGAGTTCGCTGAAAAGGAGGGAGTATCACCAAAGCACACTTCATTCTGTTTGAAGGTGCCAAAATGATGTCTAATTGTACATTAATTTTTAAAAAAATAAAAGTTGGGCCCTGGTGACGCATGCCTTTAACCCCCAGCACTCTAGAGAAAGAGACAAGCAGATCCCTGAGTTGAAAGACAGCCTGACCTATAGAGTGAGTTCTAGACAGCTAGGGCTACATAGAGAAACCCTGTCTTGAAAAACAAAAACCAAAAGAAAAAGAAAAGAGCCAACTTAGAGTTCACTAATTTATGTACTTATTTTTATTTTTGTAGTGCTGGTGCTTGGAATCCAATCCTTGGCGTTGCACAAGATAGGCAAGTACTCAACCTCTGATGTCTCTCCTGTCCTTAGGCATGTTTAATGAAAACTAAATAGTATCTGGAGAGATACTATGCTTCAGTACCAAGATTAAAGATTGTGTTAAGCAACAGGGTGGCGCGGAGGAGGGGGGGATGGGAGGAGGACTTCGTGGGTTCTGCTTTCATCCTGAAACCAAGCCAAAGGGACATTTTGTCTCTTTATTGATATTTTTTCTGTCTCCCATAAAGCTTGGATTTAAGTAACTCCCGTTTAGAGTGGTCAGGGACCGCGCTGACCATCAGCTAGGAGCTGGGGGTGCGGTATAGTAATAAGAGAAACAGACCGTAGCTATTTGGTTTCCAGGACACCGGAGAACGAATGAATGAAGAAGCGAAGGTTGGAGGTGATGGTAGGGAGTCACGGTGGTCATAATAGGCTAAAGCAGTGACCGAATTCGCTGAAGGAGCATCTGGAAGGCGGAGAACCGAGTGCGGTTATTTGTGGGGAGCGGGAATCCCGAGAGGCCGGGGCTGGAAAATGGGGCTGGACCAGTCAGGTCCCAGCGTGCACGTTCAGCCCTCTCCGCTGCTCATTCCTGGGCCAGCCCAGCGCCGCAACCCGTCCCCGCAGCCTCCGGAGAAATTGCCAAATTAAAATGAATCATTTGGCCCATAATGGCCGAGGCGCTTATCGGGGCGGGCGGGCCCGCGGCGGCGCCTT